GGGGGGTCCTGGGCAGGGGGAGGGGCCTAGGGGCGGAGCCTCGCGGACCCCGGGCGGATGGGGTGGGGACGGTGGCAGGAATCCTGTTTGGCGGAGGGAATGCTATCTTGAAGGCCAGGAAGGGCGACTTGTAGGGGCTACAGAGGCAGGAGAGTACCATGGGGAAATGGGGGTGGTACCTGAGCTGTGGTCCTAAGAAGGTCAAATGTGTACAGAGGCGATTCCCCCTGGGGTCACTGGGAGTGTGTGAGTGCACCTCTCTCTCCCAATGTCCACGCAGCTCCCCCACTCCCAGGGGGGCCCTGAGCCCAGGAATCCTTCAGAGTGTTGGAAATAAGCATATCCCTAGTTGGGGGCCCTACTCTTCAGTCCTCTGAACCTGGAAACAAAGAGACTGAGGAAGGTACCAGTGGCACTGCTCCCCTCCCCCCATCTCCCAAGCACACTCGTGCACACACATACACACTGCACTAGGGCAGAAGCACAGGGACAGGGACAGACCTGCAGGTAGAGACCCTTTCAGATGTGCTGTCAATGGGACACGTGCACACTCAGGCGGGCCCACGGAGGTGCACACCTACACACCCCCCAAGGACAAGGCTCCCGGGAAGGTACATGTACCCTAATCTTGTTTGTATATGCTGTGTGCTGTTGCCTAGCCCACCTACCCAACCACACTTCCAGATCTTTCCTCGCATTTCACACCAGGTCCAGGGCCTGCTGTCTGTGACTGTGCCCTTCCTTTCTACCCTTTTCTCCCTTCCCGTGGCTAGACTCCAGGTCAGGCCTGGGGAACTGGAGGAAGTCAGGATCTCAGTGGCGGGTGTGTGTGTTGGGGGGGGGGGTTCCCAAAGCCAGACAGCAGGGAGGAGGAGTGGGAAAGCACAGCCCACCACCAGAAACCCAACTCAATTCTCATCTATTAAGTGGCTGCTGAGCGCCAGCACCATGGTGGGCACTCAGGATGCAGAGAATGAGACCCTGCCCTCAGGAGCACCCAGTCTAGATGTGTAAACAACTCACTGGGGTGACCGTGGGATGGAGTGGGCCAAGTGCTTTAACAGGCCCCCAGAGAGCCCCAAGAATCATTTTGACAAATGACTGGACTGCAAACGTCTTCCTCCCTACCCCCCTAACGTGGTCCCACAGCCCCGCTCCCCAGCCACTTGTCTCTGCCCTTCTGGTTGTCTCCTCCTGGACTGCCTTCTACTCAGAGATGTCAGTCCTCTTCTTCTCATCTTAGAACAGGGGAAGGATGTTAGGGTCCAGGAAGGAGACTTACAGGGGGCCTCGGGGTCAGACTGTGGGGAGAGTCAGAGCTTGGGGTTTCCTGGGCACCCCCCAACCCCTCCAAAGGAGGTATGAGACTAATTGTCTGTGAGGGAGGTGGATGGGTCAAAGAGGACTGGCTCCTCTAGAACCCAGGACTCAAAGAATCGGGAAGATGTGAGGGTCCCACCTGTTAAGTGGGAAGATGATGTCAGTGGGTCCCTCCCCACTTTCCTGGAACACCTGGAAGGAGTCCTGGCTGGGGACCTGCCTTCGCTGATGCCTATCTGTCCTCCCTTGTCTTCCCCATCCACACCTCCTGTGTCATGGCCATCTTTATGTCTGTCTTTGGACTCTGTTTCTCTGGGTGCCATCCTATCCATCTGTGTCTTCTCTGCCACCCGGGGCCTCCTCCCTTCGTCTCTGGCTCTGATCCCTCTCTGCCTTTTGGGGTGTCTGTCTCTCTCCACACTTCCCTGTATTGGTGTTCTGTTTTCTTCTCCTGTCCCCATGCCTCACTCTGGGTCATTTCTGCATTTATCTTTGGTCCTCGGCTCCCATCTCGGTCTTAACCTCTTCTCTCCATGACCCTGTCTGCCTGTCATCTCTGATGCTGGCTTCCACCCCTCCATCCATCTCTGTGCCGGGTCCTGCCACTCTGTCTCACTCCCAATCATCTCGGACCTTGCCCCGCCCATGTGAGCAGCAGCGTCCCATCCAGCCCTCTTTCACCAAGTCCCTCTGCCGTGAGTCCCACTGGAAGTGCCTGCTACTCTCGCTGCTCATGTACGGCTGTCTGGGGGCCGTGGCCTGGTGCCACGTAACCACGGTGACCCGCCTCACCTTCAGCAGCGCCTACCAGGGCAACAGCCTCATGTACCACGACAGCCCCTGCTCCAACGGCTATGTCTACATCCCCCTGGCCTTCCTGCTCATGCTGTACGCCGTCTACCTGGTGGAGTGTTGGCACTGCCAAGCCCGCCATGAGCTGCAGCACCGTGTTGATGTGAGCAGCGTGCGGGAGCGCGTGGGCCGCATGCAGCAGGCCACGCCCTGTATCTGGTGGAAGGCCATCAGCTACCACTATGTCCGCCGCACCCGCCAGGTCACCCGATACCGCAATGGAGACGCCTACACCACCACCCAGGTGAGGGGCTGGAGGGGGGGGGGCGCTGGGACCCTGACTGATTGCCCCCAGGGGGAGGAACTCAGGCAGCAGTGAGCTCTTGTGGACACTGAAACAGGAGGGCAGTACCAACCATAGTAATGACGGCAAACACGTAGCAGCCAGGCCCTGCCCGACATACATCATAAATACCAAATCATTTCTTTAATCCTCATAACAACCCTATGAGTTAGGTAACTACTATCCACATTTTACAGATGAGGAAACTGAGGCCTGGAGAGGTTAAGTACCCTGCCCAAAGTCAAACAGCTAGTACGTGGTGGAGCTGGGATTTGAACCCAGGCAGTCTGGCCCCAGGGTCTGTCAGGATCTCAGCTTAGTGCTTAATGGTCGGAGATGGCTTCACACGCACTCTCTCACAGCACGCTCTCACCCGTTCAGTGAGGTGTCTGCTCCCAGGTCCTTTTCCACAGGTAAGGAATCCTAAGCTCAATGACTTGCCCAAGGTCTGCAGCTTCTAAGTGGTAGTGCTAGACTCAAACCCAGGGCCCTGGATCCCAAGTCCAAGGCTCCCAGAGGTGGGAGTCTGCTGGCAAAGAGGTGGAGGTAGGCACGGGAGGCCCCATGCAGAGGTGGGGGCGGGGGCTAATTAGCGCTTCCTGGACCCGCCAGGAGAAGGCATTATTAGAGCCCTGGAAGAAGAGGAGATTTTCTCAGTGGAGAGTGATCTCTGTCTCAGTGCTGGGATGAGTAAACAGAAGCCTGGGGCCTGTGACAATCATGGAGGGGGCTGGGTGAGAGCTAAGGTGGGAACAAGGAGACCAGAGACAGAGACCGGTCGACAGGGCCCTCCGTGGCCCATCTGGGAACACACTTGTAAAAGGGAAGAAGGGGCAGCGTGGGACTTGGGAGACGGGGCAAAAAGGTCGGGCAAGCCCGACGGGCAGTTCAGGGCCAGCGCCTGACCCCCTGATGAAGCAGGGCTTAATTAAAATTAGCGTGCACCCGGGTAGGTCCGACTTCCAGCCCATCCTCCTCTCCAGTGGATGACTCTGAGGGCCTGCGTTGCTCTGTAAAGCAGGTATTAAGATCCTACCCGGCTCCAAGCGGGCTCTAAAGCGGGGCAGGCTTAGGGTTTGAGCGGGCAGCAAGAGCGGCGATGGGGCGGACGAGGGTGAGCCGACAGAAGCGACTCCCGCCGCCCTCCCCGGCGCCGCAGGTCTACCATGAGCGCGTCAACACTCACGTGGCGGAGGCCGAGTTCGACTACGCGCGCTGCGGCGTCCGCGACGTGTCCAAGGCGCTGGTGGGGCTGGAGGGCGCGCCGGCCACGCGCCTGCGCTTCACCAAGTGCTTCAGCTTCGCCAGCGTGGAGGCCGAGAACGCCTACCTGTGCCAGCGCGCGCGCTTCTTCGCCGAGAACGAGGGCCTGGACGACTACATGGAGGCGCGCGAGGGCATGCACCTCAAGAACGTGGACTTCCGCGAGTTCATGGTGGCCTTCCCGGACCCGGCCCGGCCGCCGTGGTACGCCTGCTCGTCGGCCTTCTGGGCCGCGGCGCTGCTCACGCTGTCGTGGCCGCTGCGCGTGCTGGCCGAGTACCGCACGGCCTACGCGCACTACCACGTGGAGAAGCTCTTCGGCCTGGAGGGCCCGGGCTCGGCGAGCAGCGCGGGCGGCGGCCTGAGCCCCAGCGACGAGCTGCTGCCCCCGCTGACGCACCGCCTGCCGCGGGTCAACACGGTGGACAGCACGGAGCTCGAGTGGCACATCCGCTCCAACCAGCAGCTGGTGCCCAGCTACTCGGAGGCGGTGCTCATGGACCTGGCGGGGCTGGGGGCGCGCTGCGCGGGGGCGGCG